CATAACACCCTTCAGAGACCACACCAGAAAGACCTGAATTAGAAGCGCCACTATGTGAACTAGACTTGACCTTAAACTCACTGGTAGAAGAACTACAGTACTCCCTTGAACTTAAAACTATAATATCCTAGTGTGCGAAGAAGCAGATGATTGCCTTTGCAAGGTCAGAGACTTGATGGTCGTTGGACTTAGGGTGGGTTTGGACCTACTGCTTTGAACCTACCCACGAATGGTGACTGGGGTCCAACATAGATTTGTTGTTTTTACATTGTGTCTTTATTTTATTTTTTGACGTGTTATTTTACCAGGCTTGGTTCTGCCTACATAAATGTGTGTTACTAAAAGTATTGCTTTATCTCCTTCGTGTAACTAGTGTCCAGCTTCCAGCATTTTGAAGCTGTGCAAGTTAACAATTCATATCCTGTAGCCTAATAATAAGTCCTATCCATGTTTAAATTCTTTTGCCCAACAGCGTTTTACTATTGACTAAAATGACTTTACTATGAATAGAACGACCGGAAGCCCCATGGGGTGATTTTTGATGTACTAAAATGAAACGCCAATGATGTCGCTGGAAGTTGACCAGGACCATGTAGAGATTGTAGTCAGATAAATGGTTTTAAGCTCTCATTTCCCTGTCACCTTGTCAGGGGAAAGGCCAGCCCCTAACACATCATCACGGTCCAGTAGGCGCAATTGTACAGTGATAATAAGTAAGGATTATAATAAAGTCATAGAGAGCATGAGAGATAGAAGAGATTGAAATAATGGAGTCAGACACATTTCTTGGTAGCATGCTCACCTCAGCCTCACTTGGTGGTCCACATGAAGAGAGAGAGAGCTATTTATTGCTAACCAAGGCTTTTATATGCTCTGGGGACCCGCAGGCCTCCTAATTACAGGTGAATACATACAAAGGGTTGTGCTATAGGTAATACAGTAATGGGAGAGGGGTGATCTAGAGGTATCCGCATAATAGGAAGGGGAGGGAATGGGGGTACACATGTGACAAGATGGGCAGATCCTAAATTCAGGGAGGCAGCTTAATTTTGGATATCACTGAGCCAGTTTGATCTGTTCTCTGGCTCACTATAGAAACCATTATCAGTAGGGTGTAAACCCCACCTACAGGAACCAAACCAATGCCCGAAAGCCTTTAGGGAGAAGTAGACCACTCTCCTTACTAGCAGGGAGTGGGCCCTACTTGTGGTGGGACCAGACAGTAGGCTGGCCGCTGACTGCCTTCAGGGAAGACACTTGGCAATCACTTACCATTAGCTGCAAGCAGTGTCCTAAGTTTAACATACATTTGGGGGAGATGACTTGGGAGAAATCTTTGTTTCCCACATCACCTAATATAAAAACAATTCAATTCTGTGACATGGGCCCTCTCGGGTATTTCCCCTCATGAGGCAATCACTGTAGATATGGGACCATAGCAAACCGTGGAGAAGAAATCAGATGGTGCTAGCTATCGTGACAAATAGCATCTGGGGTCTTCAAGGCTGGTCTCAAATATACATATGCTTGGATTATAGTTGGGATTACAGTGAATCTATAAACATGTTAGAGGATAAATTGCACGCCCAGTGTTGAATTTTCCAGTCAATGAATATGATGCTGCCTTTGTAGCTGTGAGGTATCCTTGGATTGTCTCTGACTCAGAGCAAACCTATGCATAACAGAATCAAATGTCTGATATTGTATGAATTTCAAAATTGCTGCCATGTTTGAGCTCAATTTTTCAGTTCAGCATGTGGTAAAATCCTCCATTTATTTAAAAATTTTCAATTTTTCTCAATAATTACCCTTTGGGGTACAACCAGTTAAGCATTAGGCTGTTTAAATTGACCAATCACTTAACGGTAGAAAGATGAGGCAATTGGCCTTAGAAACCCTGTGGTTCAGTTCCTCTCTGTTCCATAGGCTTATGAAACGTAGAACCAACGTGAGAGGATTGGGGGTGTAATGATCTGTCAGATGTTGTGTATATGTGCAGATTTGTGACTCTTTTATATTCCTAGATGTATAATATTTATTCATCTATTGTAAATGGAAGCTGCTTAAATTTCATTTTCTAACTGCTTGTAAAAT